TGGCTGAAAGTGTGTTTGTTCCACTTACAGTCGGTGGCGGTGTTCGTAAAGTTGAAGATATTCGTTTGTTATTAAATGCAGGCGCAGATAAAGTCAGCATCAACTCTGCTGCGGTATTTAATCCTGAATTCGTTCAAGAAGCGTCTCAGCGCTTTGGTGCACAATGTATTGTTGTGGCAATCGATGCGAAAAGAACTGGCGCAAATAAATGGGAAATTTTCACCCATGGTGGTCGTAAACCGACAGGCATAGATGCGATTGAATGGGCTGTAAAAATGGCAGAGTTCGGTGCAGGTGAATTATTGGTTACCTCTATGGATGCGGATGGGACTAAGGCGGGTTATGACATTGGTCTAATGCGTCAAATCAATGATCGTGTCACCATTCCAACCATTGCGTCAGGCGGTGTGGGTAATTTACAACATTTAGCAGATGGTATTTTAAAAGGTGGTGCCGATGCTGTATTGGCAGCCTCTATATTCCATTTTGGTCAATACTCTATTCCTGAAGCGAAACAATACCTTGCTGAACAAGGGATTGAAATGCGCCTCTAATTGATTGTGAGCGCACATATATAGAAGAATGTTATTTTGGCATTCTTTTATATATGCAATTGATTTATCCTGATTCAAATACCAAAAATTAAAATACCGAGAATTAAAACACCAAGATAAAACTGATAAACAATCCATATGATTTTTAAATATAGTTAAGCTTTATCAACCATAAAACTTTTACCATTGCATAGAAATTAACTCTATGAAAATCAAGTTTGCAATGCCCCGCTTTATATTTAAAGTTTAAATTGCTTTGCGTAGGCGATCCTCACTTTTCAGAGATGAAAAGATGACAAAAATCTTCCGTTGGGTGAGGGGTACGTCCTGTACCCCTCACCCAACATGGCGACATCTATGTCGCCTCACGATAGAAAGACCGTCTATGTTTCATCAATATAAAAGTATGCAATGCTCATTTTTGACTAACGTAAGCAGTTTAATACCAATATGACTCACTTAACATAATCACTTTTTGATTTATGAAAGAGATCGAATGATTTATCTCGAACCAGTTTATCAATGCTTCTATATGAAAAAAAATCATGGTTATTGGGATTACTTATTCTGGTTATTTCCTTTAATCTTATAGTGAAAATTTCATAAAAATAAGCGTGAGTCATTATGGATTTAATAAAAATAATACGGAAGTTAAACCAAATCATCCGCTATAAATACCATTATTCCACCCCCTATCATGCATTTAAAATGTCTGAATCAATGCATACTTACCATCGCGCGACCAGTTATGAACATCTGGCACTCAACCAGCGTGATCATCTTGATTTGGATCAGCGATTAAATGAAAAAATCCAAAAATATCAACGCAACGCGATTTGGTATTTTTTACATTCGGCACTCAAAGGATATAGCACTGCACAATATAAGTTAGGCATGATTTACCTACAAGGCCAACTCGGGCTATCGCCAGATAAAAAAAATGCATACAAATGGTTGTTGCTTGCCGCAAATCAAGGCCATCTCGAAGCACAACACCAACTTTATCGGCTTTATTTACAATAAAAAACCAGCTCGAAAGCTGGTTTTTGATCCACAAAATTAGTGATTAACCACCAATTTTTTTGTATTTGGTACGTTTTTGCACAGCAGTATCACCCAAACGCGCTAAACGATATGCTTCATATTCAGCATAGTTACCTTCGTAGAATTCTGGCTGTTCGTTTTCAAATGACAAGATATGTGTAGCAATACGGTCAAGGAACCAACGGTCATGCGATACCACCATGACAGTACCAGGGAATACAAGAATTGCATCCTCTAGCGCACGTAAAGTTTCAATATCCAAGTCGTTTGATGGCTCATCCAGTAAGATAACGTTAGCGCCCATCTGAAGAATCTTCGCAAGTTGTAAACGGTTACGCTCCCCCCCTGACAATTCACCAACACGCTTCTGCTGATCTTGACCTTTAAAGTTAAAGCGACCGATATAAGCACGAGATGCGATCTCGTATTCACCAATTCTTAAGATATCTAAACCGCCAGAAACTTCTTCCCAAACTGTTTTATTGTTATCTAAAGTGTCACGAATCTGACCGACATAAGCAACTTTTACAGATTCACCAAGCGTTACAGTACCTGTATCTGGTTGCTGTTCGCCTGTCATCATACGGAATAAAGTCGTTTTACCCGCACCGTTAGGACCAACGATACCGACAATCGCAGTTGGTGGCACAGTGAATGATAAGTTTTCATAAAGTAGACGACCATCAAACGATTTGCTGATGCCTTCAACTTCTACAACCTTATTCCCTAGGCGTGGACCAGGTGGAATATAGATTTCAGAGGTTTCATTACGTTGTTGGAACT